AAAAAAAATTATGTTGATTTGTTGATTTTTCAAAAAGTTATGGAAGTTTTAAGAAAAAAAAGTGAAAAAATTACGAAAATTAGCGATTTTTAAATTTGTAATTTTTTTGGATATTTCCCCCATTTGCGGGGAACGAGGGAATTTTTTTCAAGTTTTAAGGGTAATGTCTCCAACTAGATACGATTTGTGATCTTTTGACGTATTTTTGAAAGAAATCGGTCCAGTGAGAGCTGAGAAAAAGTGGCAACAGACATTAAAAAAAATAAATAAAAAAAATAAAAAAACACATCATAGTAAAATTAATAACTTCTCCGCTTCGCATCGAAGCTAAAATCTGTAATTATTATTTATAAATGTTATATTTTTAGCTTTTATTTAATTTTATTGAAGAATTAAATAATCACCTACTTAAATATTTTTAAAACTTATGGTTCATTAGTATTGATAATGTTGCTAGGTTGTAAATATTTATAATAGTTAAAACTTAGACTATTGTTATAGGTTTTAAATTATATAATTTATATCTATTATACTATATAACACTTGTAATCAGGCTTGTAGCCAGAAAATGTTTATTGGAGGGGCCAACAATTTTGGGCCCTTGTATCATTTTCCATAATTTGTTTCCCATGAAAAGCTTTTGGGGGGGAGCTCCCTTCACTCCTCCTTAGACAGTATCCCATACTATGAATCTTACAAGTTCAAGAATTTACCATTGGCTGGTTAAAAACAAATTGTTTTCTTATAAAGTATACTAATTATTACAGTATTATAAAAAATGGATAGTACCTATAATTAAAAAAAAAAAAATACTTTCATCTTAATTATCGGGATGAATTTTTCATATTGTGAAAAATAAATAAAATAATGATGTGAACATAAACTGATTTAATTTTTCAACTTTTAAGCTATTAAGAAAAAATAATTTATACCTAAATACTAATAACAAATAAGTTATAAATAATTTTTAAAATAAATATAAATTTTAAACAATGTAAAATTTATTTTATTTAAAATTAAAAACAATTCCTGCCTTTTTTTTAGTCATATTTTTATTACTATTATTTAGAGCACGCAAATAACAAATTAACAAAAACAAATAGATTACCTATTGTAACTACTAAATTATAAAAAAAGAAACAGATTAAAGATAAGATATATCGAACAAATTTTCATGGAGTATTACTCTGTCGAATTTTGTAATCAACTAGATTCTAATCATTGCAGATACTTGGTAGTTTGTTATCATTTGTTGGACCAGAGTTAAAAAAATTTACCTACAACCACATTTGGAGTAACTGCTATTCCATTTATTATTACGTCTAGAACGTTATCTTTTTCAAATAACGTTTTCTATGAATATAAAAATGAAAATACACCCATAATAATAACTGTATTACCCAATAGTAATCACAAATTAATAATAATTTCAATGTATATAAGGCCTAGTACGTTTTTGATAATTCGTAAAAATAATTGAATTTTAAATTTGGGCCCTGGGTCCCATTAAATCCAAGGGGATTTAATGGGACTATGTCTACGTGCCTGTGTTATAGTCTTGTAGAAGCGTAAATAAAACGTTTGAACGTTCGAGATGTTCAGACTCTGAAGAGACGAGAATATCGTCTAAATAAGATTCAAAAAAATCTAAGTCACTTACGATTTTATTGATAGGACGCTGAAAAGTTATGCAGCGTTGCGTAGGCCAAATGGCATTGCTAAAAATCCATATAATCCGAATGGCGTAATTACTGCTGTTTTTGAAATGTCATTAGGCTCAACCGGAATATGAAAATATGCACTTTTTAAATCAATAGTGGAGAAAATCATTTTTTCATCGAGTCTTTATGTAATATTTTGGACATGCGGTATTTCGATCTGGAACACAGTTACGTTATTTAAACGACGGTTGTTTTTGATAATTTGTAAAAATAATTGAATTTTAAATTTGTGGCGGCCGGCCCTGAGTCACATTAAATCTAAGAGGAGCCAGGCCCACCCATATCTACGTGCCTGCTTGTAATATTACAATTCTTAAAATATTTTTTGTAATATAAAATTTAAAATATTTATGAAATGTAAATATAAATAATTAAACTATAAATATTTTTAATATGTAGTAGCCAATATCCCTTGTTACTGTGGTTTTATTAGCTTCGATGCGAAGCTGAGAAGGTATTAATTTTACTATGATGTATTTTTTTTTTTATTTATTTATTTTTTTGTGTCTGTTATCACTTTTTCTCAGCTCTCACCGAACGGATTTCTTTCAACAATACGTCAAAAGATCACAAATCGTGTCTAGTCGAAGACACCCTCAAAAATTGAAAAAATTTTCTTCGTTCCCCGTAAATGGGGGAAACCTCAAAAAAATTACAAATTTAAAAATCGCTAATTTTCGAAATTTTTTCAATTTTTTTTACTTAAAACTGCCATAACTTTTTCAAAAATGAATAAATCAATATAATTTTTTTTTTATATAGATGCTTGATATCTTTACCTATCATTTGGTATATTTTTTTTATAAATTTAACCCTTTACCAGCCCACAGAGGGGGATTCAAATTGACAACTTTTTCACAAAAAATTGATATTTGAAAATGTTCCGGAAATACTGACACTTTTATATATATCTTAAATTAAAGCAAATGTAATATACTTTATTATGGAAAAAATAATTTCGAGCTTTATTTTGTCTTCATGGTGAAAATAGCTCCTGTATGCTATTTTTGTGTTAAAATTCTCGATTCTATATTTTACATTTTTAACTTTAAAATGTTATAACTTTTTGAAAAATGTATGGATCAATACAATTTTTTTATATGAAATAATATTTATATACTTCTTTCATTCGACATACTTTTTTTTTAAATTAAACCATTTCCCTTAATACAAGGGGGCTTCAAAACATAAATGCATATAGAAAGTAGAACTTTTTCAACTTAATTTTTAAAAGTGTTCCGGAAATACTGACACTTATATATATATATATATATATATATATTAAATTAAAGCTTATGTAATATACTTTAATATTAAAAAAAAAAAATTTTGGACTTTATTTTGTCTTCATGGTGAAAATGGCTATCGAATGCTATTTTTCTGTGAACAATAGAAACCCATTTCTTTACTTACTGTACACTATATATTTATATAATTATTTTATATTATATGAGGTCAGACTAGCCTAGCAGGTAGAAAAGTATGTTTTGGCTCACAGTCATGAGTTCGATCCCCAGGGTGTCAACAAAATTTTTATTGTATTTTTTTCATTGGTTGCAAGCTGGTGCAAACTGACCATAATACCTGTCCTGCTCATCATTGGCATAGCCAATAATAATCTTTAACTCCTTAAAATGTGAAAGATGACTACCACCTGTTTTAGCATATTACGTTTGGGAAATAGAAAAATGTAAAACATATCATTTATTTTATTCTTAATTATTTTAGATTTTAAGAGAAAATTTATTTGGAGGTCAAAGAGAACTACTTATATCGTCTAGTACAGCTAAAGAATTGAAGGTTGAATCTGTTGGAGGATACTTATATTGGTCTACTGAATATTCAATTCAATCATCTAAACTTAATGGAAAAGAACTTTATAATTACTACACAGTTAACTATATAACTGGAGAAAGTAAGTTTCAAATTTAAATTCAATTTTAAGTAAATATTATAAATGGATTATTTAAAAAACTTTGTGGGTATAATTTACACTGATTAATAACATAGTCGGTTACAAAGATATATCATTCAATAACTTTTGTTCCAATAATCATTTGCTATCATTTTTTTAAACAATTTTTCAATTTGACCATGCTAAAAGCATAATTTTAGCTTTGATGCGAAGCTAAAAAGGTATTAATTTTACTATGATGTGTTTTTATTTTTTATTATTTTTCTCTAATAGTAAAAAAAACATATATTTTTTTTTTTCGAAATTACTAAATAGCTATTGTTAGTTTTTTTCTTATAAAGCATTTTGATATACAGAGTTGTTTATTATAAACCATTCAATTACCCCAAAAATAAATACAATATTGAAAAAAGAAAGTTTTTATTTCTTTTAGTTACATATAATATTCTTTGATTATTCATCTAATAATTCTTTTTTAGAATCATCATTTATTACTTAAAAGAGGGTCAACTTTATTATTTTAAATGGCAACATACATGTTTAACTAGCATATAAAATAGGAAATAATCTAATTAAGAAAATGACTGCAACCAGTCATTTTCTTTATATAGTTCTTGGACTAGTATTTTAGAAGTTATTAACAATTTAAAGTAATAAATGAAATTAAGAAGTAGGAGCAGCTATTTTTATCACTAGTCATTTCCCGGCTGTACGTTTCGTTCTGTCTAAATACAAAAATAATAATAATTTCCAAAATACTGGTCCAAAAATTATTATCCACCAGTTATTTTCTTAATTAGATTATTTCCCTTTTTATACAGTAGTGGTCAAAATTATAAGACACTCTCAAATTTTATATTTATATTTATATTTTGGGCTTGTACACAATCATAAGCATTTAAATCATCAAGTAAATTCATGAAATTTTTTTCTTTTTTTAATGCTTATAAACTTAAAATAAAACCGTTTATTTTACATTAGTGCCATTTGCAACTTTATTTTATTTACATTTTCGTTAAAAGTATTCTTGCAAATACAGCAAAATTCAGTCATTAAATCATTTTTAAAAAATTTTTACTAACATTCAAATGCGTAGATAGTTGGATGTTGAACAACTAAATACTAAATAATTGAACTTATAAACTGTCAAATAAATCCTTATAATTATTTCATGTTAATTATAATAAAAAATATGTCGTTTTATTTTATTAAATTAAAAAAAAAAGATGTTTTGTTTCTAAATATCATCAATGTTGAAAATTTGTAAAATTTCTTAATACATTATTTGAAATAACATGAAATATATACGTTTTTACATGATTTTTAAATAGCATATTGAAAAGATAAACTTATTTTATAGTAAATTACAAAAAAAAAAAAAAATAATAATGCTTATGATTGTGTACAAGCCTAAAATCAAAACACATGAAATGTAAAATTTGAGGTTGTCTTATAGTTTAGACCACTACTATAAGTTAGTTAAATATATATGTTGTATTTAAAAAAATAGAGTAGACACCCCTAGACATTATAAGGGATGATGCTAAAAAGTAATTATTAGTTGACATCCATGAAATATATGTAAATAAAAAATGAAAAAAATTGTTTTCATTATTGTATTAATTTTGCGATTAAATGAGTGGTTTATGATAAATCGATCACTTATACATTACAAATTAAATAAACAAAAGATTCCCACAATTACTCATCTTTTATGTGTAAATAGTCACCAAGATTAAATAAAAAATTGACATTTATGGAGAAAAATAATTCTACTTATAGAATTGACACAATGAGCTTTTATTATTTTTGGATACAGAAAAAAATAATCTTTTATATGAAAAAAATATGTGAAATCTTTAATAAATAATGAATAAAATGAAAAATAAAAATAATAATGATAAAAATAAAAATAAATAATGGTTGGTATTTAATTTAGTTTTTTCTATGTTCTGAAAAATCGAGATTTTACATACAGACAATTTTTTTATGTGAATTACAAACTGTTATTATTGTATAAAAAAAATGTATTTTTTTTTAATTATCATTCTACGGCTTAATAAGTACTTACAACCTAGTGCCTATATTTTAGATATAAAAATATTTTCCTATCTCTTAATTTTAAAAATTAATTACCCTAAATTCATAAAAGTTATATTTTGTAATATAAAAATATTTTTTAAGAAATTGTATAAAAATTTACTTATTGTACTAAATTTAATATGTATGAAATATTCATTATGTAAATATTTAAAAATATTAAATATTTAAATATTCTACAAATAAATATTCATTTAAGAAAAAATTAAGTGTACTTACTAGTTAGTGTCTACCCTTAAGTTTTTTATTTTGCTTCTTTATTTTTAGTTACAAGTTTGGCTGTAGATTCTGTTGGACATTGGGTATATTGGATACTAAGAGAAAAGGATAAGTCAAAGTTATTTCGAGCGCCTACTTTTGAAAAACTTATAGATTCTATTTTTAGTCCTGTGCAGGAGTTTGAAAATTTAAATTCTCAAGGTACAACATAATAATATACCTTATGAATTAGTTGTAGATGTCAAATTATTTTCTTTTATATCCAGGACCTTTATTCTATGTAGACCATCATTTATTGTGGCTTCAAAATGGTAATGATTTGGTGATTAGTGATTCAGATGGTCAGTATCCAGCCATCATAAAAGCTTTGAATTTTAATGGTATACAGACATTTACTGTGCTTGATCCACATACCCGACCTAAACCTAATGGTATTTTATTTTTAAGATCAAATTTATATATCTTGTATAATTTTTAATATAATGTAGGATCTAATACTACAGTTATACCTGAAGAAGTTAATATTAATATGATTAAAGTGTATCCTAAAATTAATGATACAACTTTTGAAATTGTATGGAACCCAGTGACTAATGTTAACCATGGATTGGTTTTATATAATGTAATAGTTTTGGAAAAGGAAGACAATACAAATTCATGCATTAGTAATGTTAGTTTAAATATAACTACTGGTTATTATTGATCTTTAAAATACATTTAAACCATTTATTTTTCAGTTTAATACACCCAATACTCATGTTTTAATACACAGTGTTCCGTTAAAAATAAGTATTGAAGCAACTACTGTATGGGGCTCATCTAAAACTGTTACTGTTTTTTCACCAATTCCTCCTGAGCCTACTAATATAAGAATTTTTACAAAAATTAACTTCTCTGACCAAAATAGAGATATTGTCTTACAACACTCTAGATTAGACAATATATCTCATTATGAAGTTCATTGTCAATACAATAATGACTATATCTGGAGAAATTGCTCAAATAAAACAATTATTTCTTCAAGTATTCAAACAACCTGGAAAAATCTATCATTAAACATAGATTATGAATTCAAAGTAAACTTAATAACTAATATAAGTATAATGTCTCCTTTAAATTATTATTTTTTAATTACACAGATTAAAGCTTGTTCAACAGCAAGTTGTGGAAAATGGAGTAAAGTTATTGTTCTAAATAAAGTTTTTTCAGTTACAAGTTTAAATACTGCAATGGTATTTGATTCTGAAATATTAATATTTCATGCAAACAAGCTAAATAACCAAACACTTATTAAGACTGATAGTTTAGTGAAATTTGTAGCATTTGATTCTCTTGAAGATATTGTTTATTGGAGTGATGGTATCAACATTTTTAATTCTTCTATTAATATATCTGATCAAACTAAGGTAAATACTATTTTATGTAAAACATTAAACTGGAAATAAAATGTATTTTGTTGTTCTAAAAATTAACAATACACACTAAAAAGACGGTAGCCGTCTAAATTTTATCTATCTTGATCAATTCTAAGACGTTTTTCAAGAATACTTTACTTCCTATTTGAATAACATGGAAAAATGAGATTTTTGTTTAAAACTGTTAATTTTTCAAAAAATGTACATTTTTTGTAATTATTATTGTACATTGTAAAAGCTAAAATTTTTCATAAGATACACACCTAAAATATTTAATTTAATAATTTTTATTTATTTTTTGAGCTTGTTTAAATTTTTACTATTAGTAAAATGTTATAATAAAATTGAAACAAGTGAGAAATTAAATGTTTTAGGTTTTCATTTTGTAGCAAATATTATTTTTTGCAATGTGTAAAAACAATTACAAAAAAATATGTAATAAAAAATTAAATTATTAAATATATCTGTTTTAACCATTGACTTTAAAAATGATTTTTAAAAAAAATTTTTATTAATAAATAGAATTTTGTTAGAAAAAATATTATTTAACTACTTGCAGGGACGTTTATAAAAGGGGGCAATTGAGTACCGTTGCTCCAGACAGCAACATTTTTTTGTAACCATTATATTTAAAATTGAGATGGTGTATAGGGGTGGTAATAAAACTTTATCTGGGGTGTCAAAACTCTAAATACGTCTCTGACTATTTGAAATGTTTTTAAATAATTTGTTTTAAACTATCATAATTTTATATGAATCCATTCAATATTACTAATTTATGAATATTTTATTAAATTACTTGAAAAAAATTTAAAAGAAAATAAATACTAATTATTTTACTGTAGGTTTATACTAAAACAGATAATCGAGTGAAGATTGAAAACTTGTCATTTGATTGGGTGTCAAGAACATTACTTTGGTGTGAAACCTCTATTAATCAGTCTACTATTATAAGTTGGGACCTTATATCTGGATCTCGAAATATTATCATTACAAGTTTACATAGTACTATAAATTTTTTAGTAGTTCCTTCTGAAAGGTATGATAATTTATTGTTTTTTAATCAATTAAAATAAATACTTATATAATTATTAAAATATAGAATGTTGATTTGGATTGAAAAATCTAACTTTTATGGTACTAAGAAAGTAATGAAACTGAGTATGGATACTCATAGTATTCATCGATTTTATAATTCTATTTTGGATAATGAAAAAAACAATTGTAATTGTTCAAATATGAACCCTATTAATGATGTTATTACTTTATACATTTCCAATAATGGCAAAAATAAACTTCTATGGATTGATAGTGACAAACAAAATATTATTATTTCTGATATATATGGTTGTGAATGTTGGACTGTAAAATTTATGTTTCCAATACATGGCATAACATCAATGGCTGTTGATAGGAATAACTTATTTTGGACTACAAATAAAAAATCTTTATATTTTTTAAGTATTGAAGAAGAAAATAATCTGCCTATCATCAAAAATTACAATACGACTAATTATTTGGATAACATAAATGCTGTTTTTACAATTGATAGAATGCCTGAAACATGTAAAAATAAAATAAAATAATTTTGTGATGTGACTCATTTTTTAGTTAAAATATTTCTTTAAGTGTTAACCAATAACATTTATCAAGGTACAATGAGTCCCCCAAAACACTTTAACAAATGTTACCTTATTTTTAATTCTTTAAAAATACTTATTGAACTATAAAAATTATTAAATTTTTAATAAAATTTATTCTTTTCAAACATTTTTTTACAATATTTTAATGCCTGGATCAATTATAATGTCTTGTAAAATAAAATAATTTTTAGAAAAAAATTATTGGATGAAAATGTACAAGTTAACATAACATTTTTTGTCTTGTAATTAATATATTTTAAATGTTATTTTAATTTCATTTATTTATTAATATTAGTTTGTATCATTGATCATTTATATTGTCAATAGTCACATCATAAACATTTATAAACTTAAATAATAATTAAATAAAAAGATGGTTATATTATTGTTATAGTTAAACGACCGAATCCACCAGGACTTCCAAAGGTAAATTGTTTGTTATCTGGTTGTACCGTTCATTGGGACAAGTCAGAGTCTGCTGTAGAAGTAATATATCATTTGGACAGGAGATTTGTTATAGATGATAGAAATAAAAGAAGTTTGAGAAATATAGAACATGACTGGATGCCAGTTTATAAAGGACCTAGTAATACTTATTCTATAATATTTAATATCATCATTTTTATTTGTAGTTGTATTTTTATCTATAAAAAAAATTAAGAAAGTATAATTGAATTATACTAAATTAGATAGAAGAAATTATTTTTTCTATAATTATATAGAAGAAAGCTTTATGCCTATTGTAAAATTAATAATTGTTATAACTAGTGGCGTATAGTAAAAAAATCTATAAAATTCTATAATTTTGACTTTTTTTTTTCTCATCACTTCATTTTAAAGATGTATACTGCTATCAATGTGGGCCAAAGACTCTGCGGCTATACTGCTGATAATAACTCTTATTAGTTTTCCATGTTTTTCTATTTTCTTAAAGTTTAACTATTATTTAATAACAATAATAAGAAAAATATAATTCATTATACAGAAATTTTATCTTAAATCTATTTTATAATTACAGTCTATTAATTGATGCATAATTTTATATTCAACACAAGTTTACTATTGACATTGTTGAACTACAAGTGTAGAAAAAAATTTTTGATAAATGTCATAAAAATAATTTATGACCATTAAAACAGCTTATTATTGACCTTGTTATTATTTAAATCAAACTAATGATGATTTTGCATTTTAAGATCAAAATTGTTTGAAATCTTTTTTCTATCATACCAACAAACTAAAAATAGGGATTCCTATTGAAGAAAATTAAAATTTATGTTTTTATCCTTGATAGGATGAAAAATAAATTAATTTAATTACATATTGTTACAATAAGTGTTATCAGTATTGTTTTAGTGACAGTTATTCATTTTACAACTTTAATTGATCTGGTATATTCTTACACTTAGTTAATCATATTCATAGTTTCTTTATCAGTTTTTGTTACTTAAGTATACTTGTTTTCCTGCTTTAAGACGCCTTACTTTTGGGTAATTTTATACTTCTTTTATGCTGACGCAGTTTACTCGATTCTTCTTATCAGTGCTTGTTCAGTAATAGTTTTAGTTACTACTTGTTGCTAATTTCATTACTTTATTTGCGGAGACTTAAACGCCTGTTTGTCATCATATTTCAATCTTTAATTATGAACTCTATGTGATAAAGACCTTTCGATCGCCACAACAAATTTGCAAATCAATGTTGATAGTATCCTTATATGGACAAAAAAATGGAAGATACTATTAAATAGTTCAAAATCAGTACACGTGAACTTTACAAATAGAGTAACAAAGCCCAACCCGATAATGTTTGATGGTAAATTAATCCCACAAGAAAAGTCGGCAAAATATCTAGGTATGCATTTAGACTCTAAATTAAACTGGAGTATACACATTAAAATGAAATTAAAACAAAAAAGAAGTAATATGTATTGGTTAATTGGTCGGAGATCACAATTATCAATAGAAAATAAAAGATTACTTTATGTATCTATCTTAAAACCAATATGGACTTACGGCATTCAACTATGGGGCTGTGCTAGCAAGTCTTGGATTGATAATTTCAAACTATGCAAAACGTTACTCTCCGTACTATTACAAATGCGTACATGTACGAAAAAAATGACAATATTCATATTATGAATGGATATGATGATACCAACCGTCAGAGAAGAAATTCAACGGTATGCCAGGGCACATGAAAATCGTCTGAAGACCCACGTCAACATAGCTGCTGCTCAACTGCTTGATTACTCACAAGATGTTAGAAGAAAAAAAAATAAACCATACGACTTGTTGTAAATATATATTATTTAATGTAAATTTACTGAAGTTTGGAGACTCTTCACTGGAAGTTTCTCTCCTTCATTGTGTATAATATCTTAATTATACATTTTATGTAATTTTAGATGTAAACTTTTGTAAAAAATGTTGATTAAAACCGCAAGGTCGTCTCAAATATATATTACTTGTGATAAAAAAAAAAAAAAAAATTATGAACTCTAAATCACCTATTAGTTCAAAAGTAAAAAGTGACACTCCTGTTAAGAGTTTACTTCCTAGTCGCCTACTAAAAACTAAATCTAGTTCATCCCTGGAGCCTACTTCAAATGAAGATATTCTTTTAGCAATAAATTTCTTGCAACAAAAACAGGATCAGATGCTTTCTTAAAGCAAATTTTATGCAGATACCTATACTACTCAATTAAATGAACTTATTGCAAAATTATCTTTTCTATCAGCGCAAATAACTGAACTTCAAGCTGAAAATAATTCTCTACGTGAAGAAATTTCAAGTCTCAAGGATAAAGTTAAACATTTAGAACTCTTTCCTCAAATTGACTATGTTACTTTCGTGCCAAAAATCATTCAGGAACTATCCGATCGTGAACGCTGTTGCTTCAATCTTATTGCTCACGGTGTTCCTGAATCTACTTCCTCAGTTATATCAGCTCGAGTTATCGATGACATTAATCATTTGAAGTCTGCACTAGAGCCCTTCTCGGTCTCATTACAGCCAGATTTCAAATTGATCCGCTTGGGTAAAGTTTCTACCGATTCTTCTCGAACGCTAAAAATAATTTTTAGTTCTAAGGAGGTTGCATTAAGCGTCTTATCCTCCTATTCAAACGCTAAGAAATCTATCCCTAGAGTCGCCTAATCATTCAATATCGTTCGTGATAAAACTCTTCTTGAACGTGAACTTCTTCGATCCTGTCACCGTGAATTTGATCGTCGATTTGCCGCCGGCGAGAAAGATATAAACATCGCCTACGTCAATGGATTTCCTTCAATTGTGAAATAACGCTCAAAAAACGGCAATTCTACCTCAAAAAACAAGCGCATTGTATTGTAGATTTTTTTGGTCTCTATCAAAATTGTCGAGGTCTTCGTACAAAATGATTTAACTTTAAGTGTAATGTTGCATATTTTGATTTTATTTTTATACTTCTCACTGAAACTTGGTTAAATTACTCATTTCATTCTAGTGAACTTGGTCTCACGAATTATAATGTTTTCCGATGTGACCGTTCATGTTCTCGTGGTGGCGGCGTACTTAATGCAGTACGTAGAGATATTCCAACTTTTTAAATTACTGTTCCCAATAAATCTGTAGAACAATTGTTTGTCTCCTTTAAATTAGATTCTCGTTTTTTTGTTATAAGCTCCGTCTACCTTCCTCCATCCAGTGATTTGTCCCTCTATGATGCCTATGTCTCTTCCGTTGATTATATTATCCATCGTTATCCAAAGTTTTCTTTTATTTTTTGTGATGATTTCAATTTGCCAGAATTTAATTGGTCTAATGATGCTAGTGGAATTATATATTCTTCTCTTTTACCTTCTCGTTTCTTCTGTATCCTAAAACATTTGCTTTTCATGGTTTCTACAGCATAACTGTATTTTAAATTCACATGGCTCACTTTTAGATCTAGTGTTTAGTAACGTTCCTGACATATCAGTTAGCTTGGCTCCTGAGCCATGTGTTCCTATTGACCCCTATCACCCTGCTCTCAATCTTTCCTTTCCAGTTACTAACCAGTTTTCTAATTCCTCTTTACTCAAAACTTTCTTTAACTTTAATTTGGCTAATTATCTGAGTATTGAACAATTTTTAAACTCCTATAATTGGAAGTCAACTTTTTCCTCTTTAAATGTGGATCAAGCAGTAAATAGCTTCATGGATGCACTTCACTCTTCAATATTACAATTCGTTCCTCAACATAAATCCCATTCCTCCACATTTCCTCCATGGTTTAACTCTGAATTGAGAAACCTTGTTTTTGAAAAAAGGTATGCTCATTATAAATTTAAAAAAACCCCTTCTCTTGATAACTATCGTCATTTTTCACAATGCCGTGTATGCTATAAATATCTTTTTAAGAAATATTTTCGTTCATATACTGCTAAAGCTGAAATCTGCCTTCTTACAAACCCTAAATTCTTCTGGAAATTTGTACGTAAAAATAAATCTTCTGTTCTTCCTAATTGCGTTAGTTATAATGGCGCAGTTTCCGATAGTACACTGTCTATGTCAAACATATTTTGTAAACATTTTTCCTCCGTCTTTTCTCAATCCTCTTCCCCTTCTCTTAATATCCTCCCCCCCATTTATTTTACGATCTTCCTAATAACGCCTCTTTTTCAATAGATGATGTTTTCAATGGTCGTCTATCTAACCTTAATAATAATAAATCTATTGGGCCTGACGGTATTCCTGGTAACTTCCTATTTAACCTACGACATTCAATATCCTTCCCACTCTGGATGCTTTTCCAAAAATCTCTTGATGAAGGATCGTTTCCATCCATTTTCAAAATTTCCTCTATTACTCCCCTTTTTAAATCCGGTGATCCTACTCAAGTTGTGAATTATCGTCCTATTTCTAACCTTTCTCATTTATCAAAACTTTTTGAGTCCCTTGTCTTTCATTCAATTAAATCTAGTAATAATAACTTTCGTATTAACGAACAACATGGTTTCCGTCATGGCCGATCTACTTTAACATGCAATCTTGTATTTAAATCTTTCATTACCGATTCTTTCCTTGTCCATGCTCAAGTAGATGTCATTTATACTGATTTTTCAAAAGCCTTCGCTGGTTTTGGTGAACCACTCCTCTCTTGGTTAATTTCATATTTAACTGAAAGAAACCAGTAGGTAAATGTTCAAGGTTGTGCTTCTGAAGTGATAACCCCCTCCTCCGGTGTTCCACGAGGTTCAATCCTATCTCCCCTTCTTTTTCCATTTTTGTAAATGGCGCAAATTCTGTTTTACAGCATGCTAAAATACTTTTTGCAGATGACTTCAAATTGTTTATGCGTATTACAAATAGTTTCGATGCTACTTTACTTCAAACTGATCTAGATCGCTTAGTTAGTTGGGCTGAATCAATGGGCTTGACTTTTAATACCTCTATGTTATAAAATGACTTTTTCACGTATTTCTAATCATATATCTTCAACTTACTATATTCATAACCATCCTATTTCTTCTGTTCCTTCTATAGTTGACCTTGGGTTTCGTCTTACTCCTACTTTAAATTTTCGACTTCATATTGAAGAAGTATGTTGTAAGGCTCTGAAAACTTTAGGTTTTATTCAGAGAATTTCTCATAAATTTCACCTCTCAAGACCACTAAAAAATCTTTTTTATTCACTAGTTCGCCCTATCCTTAAGTATGGTTCGGTTTTATGGGATCCTTACATAGCTACCGACTCTATGATGCTTGAAAGATTGCATCGTAAATTTTTACGCTTTGCGGCTCATATCCTTAATATCCCCCATCCACCTCATGACTTAACTCCTATTCAAAATTTCTTACAACTTCCTTCCTTATCTGCTAGAAGACATGACTCTAATATCCGTTTCCTTTCTAAACTCTCAGCTGGCTTGATTGATTCTCCTGTCCTACTTTTTAAATTGAACTATCGGTTACCTGTTCGTTCAACTCGCTATACTGCCCCTTTCCTCATTCCTCATTCATCTTCTAATTATATTTTTCATTCCGCTCTCCCACGTTTAATGTGCATTGCAAATAATGACCCTGATTTTTTACATTCTTTTCATTTTTTATGTAGTCATTTAGCCTTCCTATTTAATATTTAAATTTTTGATTATGTTTAAATTTTTCTTTTTCTCTTTGTCAAGCTTAAGTTATTAATGTTTCATTTTTAGTTATTAGATAATTTTAAGTTAACTGTCTAGTACATATTGTATTTTTTGGGCTATTGCCTGTATAATTTATAGTAAATAAATAAATAAATATTGTAGAATTTCTCGAATTAAATAATATTTTCCCCTACGAAAATTTAATCCATAATGAATCACCCTGAATTTCATTTATAATATGTTTATATTTAACTATTTCTTGATCTTACCATTTCTATAATATATTTCAAAAAAATATTTTTAGATAACTATTGGTTTATTCCTGATGTTAAACCAAATTTGTCATTTATGTTTCGAGTAAGAGCACGCAATACATTTGGTTGGAGTGACTATATAGCTTCTGATGAACCTTTTAAAGCTCAATACCAAGTTGAAACTTTAAGAGATGAAAATATTCCAAAAATTGTTTTAATTGCATGTTTTATATTCATGTGTTTAATTTTAGCCATGATTACAAATTACTGTAAGTATTTGAATTAAGTTTTTTTTTAATCACTATTTTCTTTTTATTCAAAGTTGTTTTTACATAGATTGGGGACCATGTAAAACCAAAGGACCTATGAGACCTGATGTAGAGTTAGGTCGGCTGAGAGAAATGCCTCAAAGGTCAACTTTCTTTCACGCAATTAATGTTGGATATCAAGGTGCTGTTTTATTTAAAAAAAAAGAAAAAAGTGAATTACCAATTATTAAACGGGAGCAGATCTCACTTAATAAACAGTTAGGATCTGGAGCATTTGGGGAAGTCTTTGAAGGCAAGATTAAAAATCTTATTAATTGTGAAACTGAAACAAGAGTTGCCATTAAAGTATTGAAAGAAGGAGCAACTCAAAGTGAAATGGCAGCATTCATGAAAGAAGCTAAGCTAATGAATAACTTTAAACATAAACATATTTTGCAACTTATTGGAGTTTGTATAGATAATGATCCAAATTTTATTATTATGGAACTTATGGAAGGTGGAGATTTATTAAGTTATTTAAGGAAAAACAGGCCTACTTCAGTAAGACATTGAAAAATTTGTTGCTTCTGAATGTTTAATTGTTTTTTTTATATTGTTTTTTTAGGTAACCAAGTCATGTTTAACACTAATTGATTTAATTCGAATGTGTATTGATGTAGCAGAAGGTTGTTCATATTTGGAACAAATGCATTTTGTTCATCGAGATTTAGCATGTAGAAATTGCTTGATAACATCATCTGATCCTAGAAATCTTGTTGTCAAAATAGGAGATTTTGGTCTAGCTCGCAATATTTACACTCATGATTATTATAGAAGGGCTGGAGAATCTTTATTGCCTGTAAAGTTAGTATTTTTAATTTTTTCAACTTTTGATTGATAATTTCTTAGTGGACAGTATGGGCGAGTCGGTAATGTGGCAGTGCTTAGCGCACAATGCCTTGGATTCAAAACTTGGTCATGGGCGGCTTCATTTTCCGAACGATCTGTTCAGTAGTTGAAGTCACCATCCTCCTCTCTCCGGCGACGGACTAACATCCCATCGTAGAGTATAAATGGTTAAAAAAACCTCCTCCTTTGGGAGAGGCTGCTATGGTGGTTCTTAATTGAGCCAATAAAAGTTCTAAAATTCTTAGTTCATTTAACATTTGTTAGAATTTAAAATAATATTGAACAATATATATTAATAAATTATAAATATAAAATTATGAAAAGAACAAATTTTTATTAGTCAATTTTATTCAAAATATAATTATGGTCATAAAAAAGATTTTTAATTTTAAAAAAAGTATATTAAATTTTTTTGTATAAATTTTCTCAGTTGAATTAATGAAAATTTTTTTTTTTTCCATGAAACATTAAATGTTTAAAATAAAATTTTTTTATATTGTATTTATAAAGCAGGAAATTTAATTTAATTATATTTGTAAAACATTATTTTGTACTAGTGCTAATTGTGAGAATATATTATAACCCTAGACCAACGTTCAAGTATAAATAGTGTTTTTGGTTCCAATGAGCGCTAAAACATCTGTGTCTCTGTAAAAAAATACATTTTGATTGGTTTAGAAAACCTAAGCCAATTATTATCTTGTAGTAATCATAATATATATATCAAAAAATATATGAAATCCTTTTGTTGCAATCATTAAATAATTTATCTATTTCTCATGGATACATAATATTTAAATAAATCATTATATTAAGCATCAGAAAAAACATTTTATGGTAACTTAAAGATTTTATCTAGTTGTTGTTGGAATAAAATTTCTGATAAATAAATAAAATAATATAGGTGTTATCACCAATGATATTTGTTAAGTGAATTAATTAAAGACACATGTTGTTTTTAGATGGATGTCACCAGAATCAGTTGTGGATTGTGTATTTACTTGTCAATCAGATGTTTGGGCTTTTGGTGTTTTATTGTGGGAAATAATGTCAATGGGACAACACCCATATCCAGGATATTCAAATTTTAAGGTTATTTGTTATGTACAACAAGGTGGGCGACTAGAAAAACCAATAAATTGTCCCAGAACTTTGTAAGTAATTTAACAATTGACTTGAAAACAAAAATTACTATTAAATGAAATTACATTAAACAGGTATAACTTAATGCAACGATGTTGGAGTGATGATCCAATTAAACGACCTAAATTTGAGTACTGTTTAAAAATTTTAAAATCATTTATGGCCATGCCATTAGATTATGTCAATATATCATATGACTGTAAGTATATAAGTACATAAGTAAATCATTAATTAGTAATTAACAATGTACTGATATAATGAACCATTACATATCTATTTGAGCCTTAACGAATAAAAAGTAAGTGGTATTTTATGTTTTTTTATAGAAAAAATTTTTTGTTGAAAATTAGTTTTTTTCTTATTAATTTAATTGTCACATATACCAGGTACAAATATATTGATTTTTTTTACTTATTCAACATAAATTTTACAGTTTTTTTTAAAAAGACTGATTACTAATTACTTTGAAGTTTTAACATAAAAAAACTGTTCTTCTACCAATCTTTTAACAGCAATAAAACACGCTAATATTAATTTTATGTGAATGATTATTGAAAGGGTCAGTGTAGCTGAGTCGGTAAAGCAGCAGTGTTTGACGTGCACTGCTTCGGGTTCAAAACTCAGTCACAAACGGCTTCATTTGCCGAGCAATAGATTATTAAATTTAGTAATTGGAGTCGCCATCTCTCTCTCTGGTGACGGATAAACCACCTGTCTCAGAGTATCAATGGTTAAGAAACCTCCTTTGACGTAGACCGCTATGGCCCATAATGGGCTTAGGAAGTGTTAAAAAAAAAAGAGATAATTGAACAAATTTAATTGTGAGCATTTTGATATTAATATATAGTTCTCACAAAAAATTATTGCTCACATCATTTTATCTATTAAGGCTTGATATTATATTGATATAATATAACCTTAAAATTACAAATTTAATTTATTTTAGTTTTTTTTTTTTTTTTTTGTAGCACAACTACAAAATTTATCTACATCAGAGTCTTATACAGTTGATATTACTTATTCAGGTTCTTACGATAAACAAATTACACATCCTAAAACAAATGAAGGATATGAAGTGCCTGACAAAATTATTAACAATGAATACTTAAATCTTGGAGGTATAGAATATCTTGATTTATCAAAAACTTCTTTGAAACCACCTATAGCAAATAATGCTAGAAACACTGAACCGGAATTAATAATGACTGAAGACACATTATTATATTGCAATATGAGTACAGAACAATCATAATTTAAATGAAAGTGAGGTTTTAAGAGGAACAAAAGGCATACAAGACTTAAAAAATTTTTGTTAAAATGTTTAATATTTACTATATTAAAATAAAAAGAAATGTGATATATTTGGGAGTAATTATTTACTCTTTGTTCAGCTTTAAACTTAATTTTTGTATATATTTATTGAAATTTTTGTTAACTAAACATTGTTTTTTACTAATAGGTTGTTAATTTTTGTTGAATTATTTATTGAATTTTATTTTTTTGTATACATTTGATTGATTACTGTTAATAGTCAATGATAATTGACAACATCATACTATATTTAAGTTATGTAATAATTATTTGAAACATATTTTTTCCATTTATTTAATTTAAAAAAAAATGTATATAAACACATTATTTTTGTTATTTATAATTATACTACAAGGTTTAAGATGTATTCTTAGTAGTAAAAAGTTCCTAAATAAAAAATAATTATATATAAATATATATTTTTAATTAAAAAGTTAGTGTTATATGCATAAATAAGAAAATTTTGTATTATATAAATATTTCTAATTAGAGATATTAGCTGTATGGACTTAGATTGACGTAAAGATTTTTATCAAAATGAATATTTTCTAATATTATGTATATTTAATAATGCCAATAAAATAGAGACTACATAATCCATAGTTCGATTTTTTTTCTTTGTAGGAAAATTAAGCAACATTCAGGCGTAAAGACTACCCATAATTGACATGATTTTGTAAGTATAGTCCCAACAATAGAAAAGTGCTTAATTTAAGTATAATATTATTTAAATATACCATAAAGAAATAATATTCCATTATTCTTATTTAAAAAAATTAAACCATTAGTAATTCTTATAATATAATATAAAAGTATCGGAAACCTAACTGATAACACATAATTTTTGATATAAATATCATTTTGTTGAATTTTTTTAAAAATATTAACGTAAAAGATTACGTTTAAACCATATTTATTACTAATAAAATAAATAGTTATTTTTTCAAAATTTCAAAATAGCCATTTTTAACAAAAAATGTTGATAGGTCGATAACAATTTTAGGACAAGTACTTATTGAGTTACAATCATTTTAATACATATCCATAAGTTATACCCATTGATGGGTACAACTCATACTAATGTACATATATCCGCTCCATACTATTTCAATATATTAAGACTTGTGACAAAATGAGTTTTTATACTAAAACTATTATAAACCCATCAAATTATTTTATATAAAAAAAAAAAGAACTAAAAAATGATTATTTTAAAGTTTTGAAAAACATTTTATTTTATTTTTTTATTAGTGATAAATAATAAAAAAAATGCTTTATACATGGTTTAAGTCAACAAACTATTTAAAAAAAAATTTTAGCAAAATAATAATTCTGTCAAAAGTTATAAGAGTTGTTTGTTAGGTCTGCCTATATATACCTCCTATATGAATATAATTACCCTATAAGTATTATTGTTTATTATTGTATAACAAAGTGAAATTGATTCATGTTTGTAACACCTAAAGTTTTAAATAAATTTAATAGTATTTGTTTCTTAATTTTAATACTGAGTTTAAATATTTGGTATGGTTTTTTAGTCTTTGTTAGGCTCTACATTTTATTAAAATGATTAAAAATTTCTTTTAGTTTTAATTCATCCTATTATATATTATTTGCGTGTAAAATTTACCTTACATTATTTTTAATTATTTAGTTGTAAGTGACAATTGTAAATTTACTGAAATTTAATTGAAATCTTAGTTATTTAAGTGGAATATAAGATTGTTTTAAGAATATTAATTTCTTAGTCAATCAATCTGCTTTGTAAAACGAGAAGTTTTCTTGGTAAAATTAAATTGTAAAATTTACTAAAATCATTGATGTTTTTTTATAACCATAATTTAACATGAATAAATTCTACAATTTGTAGGTTTCATTAATTTATCATGGATATTGTAGGATATAACATAAAGTAAAAATCATTTACACAATAATCTTATTGTAACAACTTTAATATTCCTATCAAAAATGAAAAATTGATTGAATATAAAATACAATTTGTAATATTTTTGAAATATTAATTAAAATATAATTATATACATAAGTAATAAATAAATACATGTACGAATTAAGAAAAAAATATTTATTTTAAGTTAAATGTATACATATTATACAAAGTAATTCACTAACTTCAGTCTCATTTATCTAAATTATATTTATATACAGTAGAAGCTGTTTATTAAAATGATCGTTAATTATGAACTTTTAAAATTGCATAGTGCCCTCCTCTAGAATAGTTGGAATCCACAAAAAAAATAATTGTGTAAAAATTAGTGATTGTCAAACTTTAAGGCATGCCTCAAGAGGGTTAAAAATGATACCCTAAGGGTAGATTTTTAGTTTTTTTTGTCTATCTCAAAAACATTAACTTTTATGAAGAAGTTCATAGAAACTTGTTTGTAGATACAATATTTTTTATAAAAAAAAATATCTACAAATTTATTTATTATTTTATGTTATTTAGCCTAACAAAAAATGAAAATGCAAATATTCTATATTTACCGTTGAAACTATTAACTTGATTTATTTTATAAACTGTAGAAAAAAAATGTTCACACAAAAGTTGTTTTAAATTAAATTTTCTATATATCTTTTATCTAACATTCACAAGATAAAGATCTTGTGTATTATTTTTAAACGTTTTATTACATGTTTTTATTTGGTATACAGCAAAAGAAAGATTGAAAACTTCTTCTTTGATGATCAGGAAGACAACTAGATGAAAGATTCCCAATAATTATGTCAAATAATAATGTAGAACAACTAATTGAAAAATGAAGTTTAACTGAAAAAGTAAAATCATTATGTTGTGATAAAACAGTTTCTAATACAGATAGACTTAAAGGTGCCTGCATATTATTAGAGCAAATGTTGGGGTGTAATATTTTGTATTTTCCATGTAGATATCACATTTTTGAAATTATATTAAAAAAAATTTATGAAATTAAATTTAATTCATCATCTACTCCAGATGTTCTTATATTCAATAAATTCCAAAATATTGGTAAAATTATTTAAGTGGAATGGAATATATTATTGTTTTAGAATAATTAAAAATAATAAACGATGATATTTTGAAATTTAGTTTTGATCTAATACCAACCTCGAGATGACAATAATAAACTTTTATAATTGGTCATAATATTTTTTGGGGATACACCTCTGAATGCGATTTATTTTAGACTTCCTGGGTCTATTCATCATACTTGTTGGATGGCAAAGACCCTTTATTGTTTAAAAATATTTTTGTTTATAAATCAATTTGTATTATCCAAGTATTTAACGATATTCGTTTGTTATGTAATTTTTTAAATAAGTGTATATATTAAACAATGTTTTAGTCTACCTAATACTTCATTAACATCAAATTTAGATTTACAATTTATAAAAAGTATGATTGAAGATGAAACAATAGATATAGATATTTCTAAAGTAGTTTTAAAAGACTTGTCTGGTCACTTATGGTATTCAGTATCCGAAATAGCAGCATTGGCATTTTTTGATGATGATTTGTCTGAAAATACTAAAATTAAAATGGTAAATTCATTTAATAATCACGAAGAAGCTCCAAGTACGCACAAATGTGTAGTTTTAGGTTTAAATGGAATTTATGAATATAAAAAAAAAATATTGAAGACTTCACTTCAACGGAATCAAAAAAAACTTTTGAAAGTTTGACAATCATCACTAATTTTTGCACAATTATTTTTTTTGGGGATTCCAACAATTCTAGAGGGTTACAATTCAGAATACATAATAATAAATATTATTCAAAAAAAAAAACCTACCAATGTAACATATGGTCACCCTACTGTTTATAATATCATTCAACGTTTCATTCATTATAACCAAAATGATGAGTACAAATTTATTTATACCTGTACTAAAAATTTAAGGCAGATATTGTCTTAACTGGTTAATTGAATATTACTAGATAATCTTAAAACCCATTTGACTTCATCATTTAATTTAAATAATTTAAATTAATTAGAACCAAACTTAAAATAATTTTTTTATCAAACATAATCAACTATCCAACAGCACATATCCCTAACTTGAATCCAATTTCAACCATATTTTGAGGTACTCCATCTTCATAACATATATAAATTTCACGCCTTGCAGGTATTTTAAGTAGTTTCCTAATAAATTTAAACAATTTTAGTAAAATTACATTCAACATTGAAACAACAAATTAATATGATGGTTTTTTAAAATGGCCAAATATAAACTCAAGTATATAAAAATAACAAAATTGAAATATATTTCACTAATTGGATACTATATGTCATTTTGATGACATATTTTGACATTCAAAAACAGGCTTAAGACAAAATACATAGTAAACAAAACTAATTGTTTGAAAATCATATGAATTACAATACCAAAAAAACATAATTTTAGATATTTGTTTAAATTTAATTGTGCTTAACATCCTGTCTAAAAGCTGTAATTTGTACGAGAAAGGACGAAAAAACTTCACAGCCCAGAGCACAACGCAATCAAACCACCCAATAAAATTAATTTATTTTAAAATATGTACTAAGTTTATTATATTAAGAAATTATATTTTACAAGTGTTTTACAAATAAATTATACTGCTTTGATATCTTTTTCAGATATTTTTTCTTAAAAACTTAACCAAATAGTTAAATTTCAGAAAACTTACCCAGTTACACAAAATGAAATAGCAGTCGATTTTTTTGGAGAATCAATATTGGAAGGTATTTTAAATAACACATTAACTTCATCTATTTCATTATCATCCTTTAAAAAATTATAAATTTAAATAAAAATCCATTATTTTCAAGGACACAATAAAATAATTATTAACTCATACTTGTATTGATTCATTGAATGATTCATGTATTATGTCAACTGTCTTATTGAAATTGTATTCAATCATTTCTATCATATTTTTACCCATAAGATCATTATTAAACATAGTTGGGGAACATAACATAATTCCAGTTTCACAATTTAAGTCAATGAAGTAAAACAACATGTTTAATTTGTTTATATTAAACCTACAAACATGATTATATTATAAAAAATTTTAATTTTTTAAGTAAAAATAATTACATACTTATTGGGTAGTACAGCTATACTCTTATTGCTATCAGAATTATCTATTGATCTTGAACTTTCCTAAAATTTATTGTTATTTAGATATAAAAAAAGAAATTAAATATTCATTTATTACCGAAATTGTACAATCATCAGAGTTGTCAGACCAATCAAGAGAAGATGCTTTCATCATTCTTTCAGCTCGCCTTCCTAATACAGGACCTTGAACATACATACCATCCTCTGTACTTTGAGCACCACTACTTGTTAAGCTTGTTTCTGATAATGAATCACATTGTTTTGAGTCTGTGAGAAATTATAAAAATAAATAAGAATTTCAAACATATCAAAGTAGCAAAAACACTAAAGGCTACACCACACATTAAAATAAGAATCACCAACTATATTAATAATAGTTAAAAACTGTATAATTATTACCAAGATATATTTATTTTTGAAACAGTATAAAATAAAATACCAAAATACAATATTGGAGATGAAGTTTCATTTTTATGTTTCAATATTGAAATTATTTCTGGTTTTTTGACCGGTGAATCTCCTAAATTAAATTTTTAAGTTAATAAATAATATTTATATTTTATTGCATTCAATTTTAAGAAAATAATTTTAAAATTTAATTATCATTTTAAATTTTACTTGTATTAATACTTGATTGATTTTTTATACTTTCTTGATTTATTTCAAATAAATTACCATTAATCCTAAAATAAGAATTTTATTTAAAATATTTAGGATAGTTAAACATATTTATTAACAATAAGTCTATAATATATTGCACACAAAAACAATGATGAGTTATGTTAGCAACCATACCATTTGTTCACTACTTCATCAATATTCATATTCAAAATATTTTCAAGCGTATCTTCAGCTTCCTCGACATAATTTACATCAGGACCATTACAAACTTCAGATCTGAAAAAATACATTAAAACTAATTTGTAAAAAAATAGATATATATATTTTTAAATATGAATTGTACATAATGAATTGAAATACAGTATTGTAAATTTTAGAAAGCTGTAAAATTTATTTACATTGTAATATCAAACTATTTCTAAGTTAATAGTACATAATGTTTATTTTTTTTTTCAACTTTACTGTTAACATACTATTTGGTCAATAGTTAAGTTATTAAAATTAAATAAAATGAATTATGTGTACTTTGAACAGTGAGGTCCAACTTCTAAAAGAGTTGCCATCAAATTTTTTCCCCGACCAACTAATAACAAATACCATACAGCTTTTGGCAATATATAAACTGATTCGATAGAAGAATAGTTATTTCTACTTGATGACGGATAGACTTGTTGAAATATAATTAAACGTTCTAAATATTCTGTATGTAAAATATGAAAAAGACCATTTTGTTGACAAAAAGTGTAAACATCTAAATGATCATTATAATTTAAATGTGAGGCCAGCAAATATTCCTATGAAATATATCAATTAATTTTAGTCAAAAATTAAAAATTTTAGAATATTATAAATAGCACCTTGTAATAAATAGAAGTTCCAATGATGTTATAAGGCCTTTGTTGTTTCATATCTTCATACTAATACAAATCAAAAATATACAATTTACAATATTAAAAATTTAATGTTATATATTATTATATTACAAAATAAATTAGTTAAATATTTTCTTAAAACTTGCTATAAATCATGTATTTGATTCAGGTGCACTAATAAAGTAGCAAAAATAAAATCGTACTTTATTATATAAAATAAACCGAAAGGTACCTTTTAAAAAACTACTTTTTTATTTATAATTAAATATTTATAACTAAATTATTAATAAAATAAAAAATAAAACTATAAGAATATTAATTCTTTTTAAATTTTACACAGCTAAAATTAAACCCTCTAAACAAAATATAATTTGAAGTATCTTGAAAATTATGTAGTAGACTTTATAGCTACCTAATAAAATCAATATTGTTACACAGCTCAAAATTTGGGTCATGGAATGTAGTTAAATATAGAATGATACTTGTGATAATTTATTCATGGAGTAAAAATATATTTAATAAATAAAAGAAAATGATTTTCCCTGAAGTTTTTCTTAAAATGATCTTTCAAGGGAAAAAAAATCATTGGGTTAATTTCTTTTTCTAATTAATGATCATACTTTTTGTTAAAAATATGAAAACTATCTTACTATATAGTTTGCTTCAAATTCATTTAATATGTCGTCCAACTCCATCTTATAACAAAAATCAAAAACAATTATAATAAAATAATTAAACATAATTTGTTTTAATCATACTTGTACACTTCTTGCTAAAGGAACAGATTTAGAGGCTGAAAAAATCTGTTCTATTTTTTTTAATTTTATAATGTCTTGAAAAATATTAATACAAAACAATTCTGAAAACATAATTGAAAAGTACCTATCTAATGAAGAAGAATTTTCTGATTTTGAAAAACAGCTGTAAACAATTGAATTTGATTAATGACATAAACTATTATATTTACTTATATTATATATTATATTTACTTGTTTAAATTTTTATAGCAAAAACATAAATATTTTACAACATTAGCCATTATCCACTTGGCATGATTTATATTCAACCTAGTAAATATGAAACCTTATTTTTATACCATGTTACAAAATATTAAATATACAACAAGATGCCTAACTAGAATTTTGATTCAAAAAATTATAAAAAATTTCCATTGATGTTTTAATTTATACTAGTGAAACATTATAACCTAAAACTTGGAAAATTGATACTAAAATTTCAATAATTAAGTAAAGTTTTAATGTTTAGATTTAAAAATTATAAATTTTTTTTTTACTTTTTTCCAAAAAATGTTTTTATAAGACATTTCCTTTATTATAATATTTATTACTGTGATATTAATACATAATTTTTATAAATTATCACTGTATATTATTAATAAACAAGTAAATAAATAAAACTATTTTTGGATATTTTTGCATTCAAATTTTTTATGTATAGATATATTAAGTTTGATATTTTTACATGGAACTAGAGAATGTAACTATATTATTTTTCTACTTTCGATTAAATATATGACACAAAAAAAGAGTTTTTACTTAGAATCCGGCACAATGAATATTAGGGTACCTAGGTCTTCTAACCAAAACAATGAATGTACAAGTTGATCATCATACAGCATGGAAGTACTATACATAAATTAAATATAGCTATCAATTTTATGAATAAAATTACTCAATTTTGTATCAATGAATTACCTTGAAACTTGATCTTTAACTATTTTAGGAGTAATGTTAATTATAGTTTGAAAAGCTCCTCTGATTTGATAAAATATTGAAGACTTTTTAGGATAAATATAAATAGCTTCAGGTATATTATCCATTAGGAACATAATTCCTATAGGATACTTAAGTAGTTCAGATATCAAAATGTCATGAGTAGTATTGGATGAATAATAAGAAGATAACTGACCACTAACATATCTATCTATTTCAACCAAACTAGCTGCTAATCTTTGAACAACTACAGTAACCTAAAATAATGGTAAATTGATTAAATAATTTAAAATTACTTCTTAATAGTAAATGTTTACTGTAGTAGGTGGATTAATTTTTGATAAAATTTCTTTTAATGTATTCGCTGTTATAATTTCTCCATTTATCATTTTGAGCCAATCTCCTTTAAATTAGAAATTTTTCTAGTAAAATTCAACGAACGTGGTACAAAAATATACAAAATTATCATTACCTATTTTTATTATTTTTTGACTGTCAATAAAAGTATCAGGAATAATTGAAGTAACCATCACACGAGATTTATCTTCAAACACTGATGTAGAAAAACCTAATAATTTCTCAGATAATGTTGCTCTCCTTCCAAAATTGCTACAATTGTCATCATTTACAACAATAGTAACTTCTTTAATTTCAAACTCCTAAACAATCATTTTCTTTTTTTATTTAAGTAAATTTTTAAAATAATGAATTATACTTGAGTATCCAAAAAGGTAACTTTATTTGTATTTCCACCTTGTTTACAAGTATCACTTCTATCTCTTCTTCTATTTTTTCGTTTTAATAACTTCACAAACTTACTAGTAGCAGTTTTCCTTTTTTCCTGATAGTTTGGTGAACCCATATCTCGTTTACTGAAATTGTGAATTTTTCGAGGAGAACTTTTAATATAAAATAATTCTCCTTTGAAATTAACTTCAGACATCCAGTCACTATTAGAACTTAAAATATAAGCAAGAAACATAATAAATAATAGACTGCATTTTTTCTATAAAAAATAAAAAATTTTAAATGGAGAAATAAAACGAAATACCTCAATTTATTTAAAGACAAGGTGTCATAAAATTAATTTACATTCAATACAAGAATATAATAATTATGTTAAGTATATATTAATAACTTAAACTAAATTTTAAATTTAAAGGAAACAGTCTTTAGTATAATAATTATTTTTACATTTAAAATTTTTTTTTAAAGAAAAAAGTTACGAATAAATTTATAAAAAATAAATGAATTATTTTAAAATACAGTACATAATCCTACATTTTACACTGGATCGTCTTACTTATGAGAATTAATATCACTACAATCACAGGAAGAAATGGACGATGTACTGTCATTATCCTCTAAATACATTTCGTATGATTTAGGAGTACTTCTTTCATCAGTCATATTTTTTGAAATATTAAACAAAGTGTATAAATAATTTAGAGATTTCAATAGTCGTACACACAGTTAAGAGCTACAATTCACATTATCATGTATATTTATATTATTGCTCGTGATATGATATATATTTCTGATAAATTCATGATAGCAATAGGCAAAGCTTTTATCTAATGACCTTGAGCAATAGGTTTGTTAACAATCGGATATTATAGTGTATGATAAAATAGTATATATAGAGAGAGATTATACGCTTTATTATTTAAGGTCAATGATCCAGAAATAATAATTCACATTTATCTTTTACAAGAAACCAGTGATGTGTCAATATAAAAAGCTACCTGGGGCAACTTCCCCAGAGTGCTACTACGGTTTTTGAGGCATTTTGACCGATGATCAAAAATGTTTTACTAGAGTCGTCAATAAAAACAAACGCTTAGTAGACAAGAAAACTAAACTTTTCGCTAATAGGAAATCAACCACTACATCTTTATCGAAAATTTCAGCAATTAATGAAGACACTAAATTTTTAATCTTCAAAAAACATTTCCGATTATTATCAATCAACATTTTTTTAAACCAAATTATAACATCAATAATACTCATCACATACAAACCAACGGTCCTCCTCTTTATTCACATCTTATAAGACTCCTTACAGATCGTTTAGCGGTCGTGAAAAATGAGTTAAAATTTATGATAGAGCAAGTCATGTGTAGGTCGTCAAAAGGCCCTTTGCGAGCCCTTACATTTAATTAAGAAAAAAAGTGGCGACTGGAGATCATGCGATTTTTACCGTCGTTTAAATAACGTAACTGTGTTCCAGATCGAAATACCGCATGTCCAAAATATTACATAAAGACTCGATGAAAAAATAATTTTCTCCACTATTTATTTAAAAAGTGCATATTTTCATATTCCGGTTGAGCCTAATGACATTTCAAAAACAGCAGTAATTACGCCATTCGGATTATATGGATTTTTAGCAATGCCATTTGGCCTACGCAACGCTGCATAACTTTTCAGCGTCCTATCAATAAAATCGTAAGTGACTTAGATTTTTTTGAATCTTATTTAGACGATATTCTCGTTTCTTCAGAGTCTGAACATCTCGAACGTTCAAACGTTTTATTTACGCGTCTACAAGACTATAACACAGGCACGTAGACATAGTCCCATTAAATCCCCTTAGATTTAATGGGACCCAGGGCCAAAATTTAAAATTCAATTATTTTTACGAATTATCAAAAACGTACTAGGCCTTATATACATTGAAATTATTATTAATTTATGATAACTATTGGATAATACAGTTATTCTTATGGTTGTATTTTCATTTTAATATTCATAGAAAACGTTATTTGAAAAAGATAACGTTCTAGACGTAATAATAAATGGAATAGCAGTTTCTCCAAATGTGGTTGTAGGTAAATTTTTTTAACTCTGGTCCAACAAATGATAACAAACTACCAAGTATCTGCAATGATTAGAATCTAGTTGATTACAAAATTCGACAGAGAAATACTCCATGAAAATTTGTTCGATATATCTTATCTTTAATCTGTTTCTTTTTTTATAATTTAGTAGTTACAATTATAATTTAGTAGTTACAATAGGTAATTTATTTGTTTTTGTTAATTTGTTATTTGCGTGCTCTAAATAATAGTAATAAAAATATGACTAAAAAAAAGGCAGGAATTGTTTTTAATTTTAAATAAAATAAATTTTACATTGTTTATAATTTATATTTATTTTAAAAATTATTTAAAAATTATTTATAACTTATTTGTTATTAGTATTTAGGTATAAATTATTTTTTCTTAATAGCTTAAAAGTTGAAAAATTAAATCAGTTTATGTTCACAATATGAAAAATTCATCCCGATAATTAAGATGAAAGTATTTTTTTTTTTTTAATTATAGGTACTATCCATTTTTTATAATACTGTAATAATTAGTATACTTTATACGAAAACAATTTGTTTTTAACCAACCAATGGTAAATTCTTGAACTTGTAAGATTCATAGTATGGGATACTGTCTAAGGAGGAGTGAAGGGAGCTCCCCCCCAAAAGCTTTTCATGGGAAACAAATTATGGAAAATGATACAAGGGCCCAAAATTGTTGGCCCCTCCAATAAACATTTTCTGGCTACAAGCCTGATTACAAGTGTTATATAGTATAATAGATATAATTTATATATATACTTTTAAAACCTATAACAATAGTCTAAGTTTTAACTATTATAAATATTTATAACCTAGCAACATTATCAATACTAATGAACCATAAGTTTTAAAAATATTTAAGTAGGTGATTATTTAATTCTTCAATAAAATTAAATAAAAGCTAAAAATATAACATTTATAAATAATAATTACAGATTTTAGCTTCGATGCGAAGCGGAGAAGTTATTAATTTTACTATGATGTGTTTTTTTATTTTTTTTTATTTATTTTTTTTTTTATGTCTGTTGCCACTTTTTCTCAGCTCTCACTGGACCGATTTCTTTCAAAAATACGTCAAAAGATCACAAATCGTATCTAGTTGGAGACATTACCCTTAAAACTTGAAAAAAATTCCCTCGTTCCCCGCAAATGGGGGAAATATGCAAAAAAATAACAAATTTAAAAATCGTTAATTTTCGAAATTTTTTCACTTTTTTTTCTTAAAACTTCCATAACTTTTTGAAAAATCAAAAAATCAACATAATTTTTTTTATACTTAAACCTTAGATATTTCCCTTTCATTTTATATCATTTTTTTGAAAATCTAACACTTGACCTGCTCATTGGGGGAGATTTAAAATAGCAACTTTTTTACCAAAATTAACTTTTTCAACTTAATTTTTGAAAATGTTCCGGAAAGACTGCGTCCTTTAAACATATATCAAATTAAAGCTTATTTTATGTACTACAAAATGAAAAAAAAAAATTTGTCCCGACACTTTTTTTTCTACATTTAAACGGCTGCCGTAGTTAAAAAAACACTATTTTTGTGTTAAAATTTTCGATTTTCGATTTTAAATTTTCAACTTAAAAATGCTATAACTTTTTGAAAAATGTATATATCAGCACAAATTTTTTTTTTCTAAATACATTATAAGTACATCTTTCATTTGACATACTTTTTATTAAAATTGGACAATTTCCCCTTATATAGGGGGCGTTCAAAACTTAAAATATTGTAAAAAACATAGATCTTTTTCAACTGAACTTTTGAAAATGTTCCGGAAATACTGCGTCCTTTAAACATATATCAAATCAAAGGTTATGTTATATACTATCAAATGAAAAAAAAAAATTTGTCCCGACATCTTATCTTCTATGTGCAAATGGCTGTCGAAAATTTAAAAAAAAATGTAATGTTTGCGATAAAAATTACATTTTATCGGGATGTTTTTTGTACTTAAAACTGCCATAACTTTTTCAAAAATGAACAAATAAAAATAATATTTTTTTGTATTGAAACCTTAGATATTTCCCTTTCATTTGATATCATTTTTTTTGAAAATCTAACACTTATTCTGCTCACAAAGAGGATTTAAAATAGTAACTTTTTTACAAAAATTAACATATTCAACTTAATTTTTGAAAATGTTCCGGAAATACTGCGTCCTTTAAACATCTATCAAATTAAAGCTTATTTTATGTACTATAAAATAAAAAAAAAAAATTTGTCCCGACGACCTATCTTCTATGCGCATATGGCTGCCGTATTCAAAAATATGCTATTTTAACAAATTTTTTTTTTTAAATTAAACACTATCTACAGATTGCAGTGGCACAGTGGGGTCGCGGCATAGTGGAGACATTGCATAGTTGGGTCCAGTATAGATTTAATCTGACAGTGATTAAAATCACTATCATAAGAAACGCTTCGATGCAAATCTGTAGATAGTGTTTAATTTTAAAAAATTGATGGATAATTGCAAAAGCAACATCAACTTCTATTAAAATAAAATACAAAACCCATAATTATCATACAAAAATAGTATATTTTTCAATATGGTAGCCATTTGCG